GTATTCGATTTTTCATGGATTTGATCAAGTTATCAACAATCATCTGATCCATATTTTGCAACTCCTTTAGCAATGTTTCTTTAAGGGTTGCCACTGGTGTGATTTTGGTTGCATGCTGTCGAAGTTTTTGGTCAATGTGCTCTCAAAGTGCTCTATTGGATTCATATCAGGAATTTAGGTCACACATGGCAGTGACTTGATTCCTTGCGTTTCCTTCCAGCCCTTTGCTAATTTAATCGCATGACATGGCGCTCCATCTTCTTGATAAATCTATACATTTTTACCAATCTGATTGGTTTCAAATAGTGGGAATAGTCCTTTCACTAATATTTGACAATATTGTGGACCATTAAACCACGCATCAACAAAAATCAGCTCAGATTTCCCTCCAAACCAGACAGCATCCCACACCATTACTCCAATCCTCCCATGTTTCAAGGTCGCCTGCAGACATCCAATGCCCCAAGTCTCATTCTGATTTCTCCAAACATAAACATGTCTCAAATTCGAATACTAGAAGAATTTACTTTCATCTGTCCAAATTACAAACTGCCAAAATTCATAATCTTTGCTCTCGAATTCTCTCGCCCAGTCCATATGCCTGTTCCTGTTAACCTCTGAAATCAAGGGCTTCTTTCTTGCAACTCTTCTTTGATAGCCTAGTTCTTTCAGAATCTTTCTCATCGCATATGGTGACATTTTCATGCTGTTGACATCTTTGACGCACTGTTGACATCTTTGACGCTGATGACTTCCCTCTTCAGCGCCCTTTTCCTTCACTCAGACACGATGCTTGCTCTTCCTGAACGTTCTTTCTACAAGACAATGGCTTTCTTCATTAAATTTCTTGACAATATTATTAAACGTTTGATGATTAACGCGGAAAATCCTAGCAATTTCTCTATTTGACTTGCCACAATGATGCCATCCTATTATTTGCTCTCGTTGAAATTCAACAATTTTCTTACTTCCGCGAACTTTCATTGCAAAATATAAGTCAACTATCGTTCATAGGTTAGAGTAGCTTGATACTAACACAATATTGTCCGAAAAAAAGAAGATACTTTATTACACAAGCCAAAATTGCTGTAATTAAGGGTGGCTAACAACTTATCATAGCCCACTCTATAAGTAACTAGCAGCCATACCCAGCTGCTCGATCAGAACAAGCGTTCAATTAGAATGGAGCAAAAACAGCACCATGTTCAGATATATCAGAATCTATCTTCATTAATTATTTAAAATACTTTCATAAAAATCTTTTTTCATTTAATGCAGTCACTGATATAACAGAACTAGGCTGTATTTATTCAGTCGAAGTTAGCCGGGGAAATGAACTGGTAAAACAGTCAATATGAACACCCACTTTAGACCAAAATTATTTGGAGTTTTTGGAATTCATTTTCTCAGTGTTCTACTAGGGGAGTAAAAGCAGATACATTTATAAAGCAATTGTTAGTTTGATGAACATTGGTGGAAAAATAAAGAAACCAGTAAAAATCGCCGTTTTCACTATTTACTCGGGTTTTCACTATATGTATGACTCAATTATCAAGTTAAATGACTGTTAAACAACCAACTTATTGTTTCCTAAAATTGAGTGAACTTTTTATTAGATTGCTTGAAAATTGAGGGAATTTAAAACTTCTGATTTGTGTTGAAATCGATTTTTCGTTTTTAGTGGGTAAGGGTCGCGAAACGTAGTGGCTTAGAAATAAAAATGAGGTATCGCTGAGCTCGTCATGATGTAAGTAACCTACATACCGAGATTGAACGAAATCGGAGGAAAAAGTTGAATTTATCAATTTCTGATCGGCTTTGTCGATTCTTAATTGTTACATTGTACAATGCATGTGCTAAATTTGGCCAAAATCGGTTGGATGGATCTCAAGGCAAAAGATATCATACACACAGACAGACACACTGACATCCTCTGTTTTATATATAGAGATTATACTTTCTTTTATCAGAATCTCTTGATGAAATAAACCACATATAACGACAAAACTAACGTTGCAAAACGTTATGTTACACAAAACTGGTATGTTTATTTCTCTTTTGTGTGTATTAAATAAATATTTTCAAATGATTTCACTTTTACAGAATTTCTTTTTCTTAGCGTATATTAAATAATTTTAAAATGATTTTACTTTTGTTTTCCTCATAAAACATTCAAATCATTGTTGTACGTTTAAAACTTGCCTCTCTCCTTTTATATAATATATTGATCTGGGTGTGTAGGCGGCATATATATATATATATATATATATATATATATATATATAGAAAAAGTTTCAAATTGAAAATTATAATGTTTTATTTTATGAAAGTATTTATTTATTTATATATATTTTTGATATTTCAAATTGTCTTCAATTTTTCATCAATGAAATATCAAATATATATATAAATAAATAAATACTTTAATAAAATAAAACATTATAATTTTCAATTTGAAACTTTTTCTATATATACATATTAAGAAAGTATACGTGGCTTCTCATTATGCTATATATATATATATATATATATATATATATATATATATATATATATATATAAGTGAACATTGAAATCTGCACCGAAAATAATGGTGTGGTTATGGGTAACACCTTAAGTTCTAAATTCTCCAACTTTTATCTAGCACACGATTAAACATGACAGACAAGCAACGCTTGATAATGGAACAGTATTTTAAGTTTTAAAGTTTTATTCTTGAAACATGGGAATTCCAGTGTTGCGATGATTATATATTAAAAAAATTATAATATATATATATATATATATATATATATATATATATATATATATATATATATTCGGCTGACGATTGCGTCCAGCATGAAACAGCCTGTCGCCTCTTAGTGTTGACTTCAATGTTCACTTTTATATTTATATTTACATACGCTCTATCTCTGATATTGAGCACTTTATCCCATAAATATAGCACAACTTAAAACTATATATATATATATATATATATATATATATATATATATATATATATATATATATATATATATATATATAAGTGTGTGTGTGTTTGAGCGCCCGTGTGTCTGTGTAGAGAGAGAGAGAAAGAGACAGAGAGATTTTTCTCCGTATTTCTAATTTTATACTTTGTCAACACTACGCAGGACATGATGAGCTTGTGTGAAGGGTAGTAGAACTGGGATTGCGAGAAATAGCAGAAGGACAAGGTTTGTTAGAAGCTACATGGAGTCAGGAAGCTGTGGAGAACCATGATTGCCTACGTTCCGAAGGGACACGGCACATAAAAAGTAGACCATTACAAGATTAGTACGTAAAACCCAATTCTTTATACACTATAACCTTGACGACTTCAGAATGAAATATGTACGGCTATAAATGCCTGAATTATAATTATAAATAAAAAAAAAAAACAATATATATTTTCTAAGGTTGAATCATAAATAAATCCCTTTTTCCTTTATCAAATTTATTCTTAAAAAAATAAAGTACATTTATATTTTATTCAATTATTTCAATATTCAATTTGCTATGATTTCTTGAGAGCTTTTTGAGTAAAATTCTGCAGATTTTGATGCGGAAAAGATTTTGACGAACACTTGAATCTGGTTTTTATGAGAGAAAGTTTTCCGCATCAAAGTGTTTTTGTAACAAAATTAGTTATAATCAGTAGATGCAAGGTCATTGAGTCGGTTAAAACAAACCAAGTTCCATTTTTTTCCGCTGTTAGTTTTTGGTTGCTGTTGTCTACAGCGTTGAATCGTCCTGCAGAAGAGCAATATTGTTTTTCTATTTGCTAGTTAAGGTCGCTTTTCAACCAAATTTTTACCTCCACGTTACAGCTGCTGGATGTATAAATGTACATTTAGTGTTTCATTGGGTTTTAAGAACTCTCAACCAGTGATTAACAACGTGAAGCGCATGCCCCACCGGTAGAGCATGGTAATATTTGGGTGGGGCATGCGTAGGATGTGCACCCTTTGGCGAACTATACCAACGTCAGCTCAAATTTTATTTTGCGTTATTATTTCAAGATTAAAATGATCAAAGTATATTATAGAATAAGCTTTCATTAAAATATTTTATATTTCAGCCTTTCAGTTCTGTATTATATATTTTGAAACTATATATATTTAACTGTCTTTTTGTTTGTTTTTTTAATTTTTCTCTTTCATGGATGCCATGGTCTTTGGAGGCTTGTTTAGAGACCAAATTAATGGCCTTTTAAGCTTCCTTCATGTGAATTGCAGTAAAATTTTGAATATGTAAGAATTAAATATTATAAGGGTCACCAGAACTTTAGAAATACCAAAGTAAGTATGACCCAAAATTGTTTGGGAAATCCTGCTCTTTCGCATATGATATCATTTTCCATGGTTGACTTAACGTCTTATCCATTTATAAGGCGTTACAGTTTTAGAATATTTACTGCATATATTGCTTTTGATTCGTGAGCCATATCATATCATAGCCTGGATCATATACTGTTTCTAAGCCGAGGCGATTTAGAGGTAAAACGTCAGTTTCAATCCAATCTAATAATTCGTTTTCCATATTATTTGATACTCTCTTCTCTCTAAGTTAAACTTTAAACCTTAATCAAGAAATACGAAAATGAGGCATGGCCCAAAATCGTTTGAGAACCACTGCTCTAAACGAATAATGCACTGATAATATATATATATATATATATATATATATATTATTTCATGAAGCTCAGCTTTTGCGTGAGGTGCTCGTTTTGCTGATTTATCATTATCTCATTGCTCCTATATTCTACTTTTGTCCACCATCTTTCCTTGACTATCTCATCTAGGAGTCCCTGTCAATACAGTGTCGTCTGCTTATCTTATGTTGTTAAGATTGTTTTGCCCAATGCTAAAAAATCCTCGTTGGACTTTTAGTTCCCTTCGGTTTTAAACAGTGCAAAGGTTACAGTTTTTTAAAAAGACACTTCCACAAGAAAAAAAAAAGATTTTTAAAATTTTCCTTTGTCAAGCCGGGAATTTTTAGTAGTTTGATTTTTTGTATAAATGAAGTTGTATCGATAGAAAGGAAGAAAGAACAAGAAAGAAAAAATGGAGAAAAGGAAGAAAAAGAAAAGTGAAAGACAGAAAACAGAAGGAAAAAGAAAAATGGAAGAAAGAAAGAAAGAAAGAAAAAGTAAGAAAGAAAGAAAGGAAGGAAGGAAGAAAGAAAGAAAAAAAGAAAGAAAGAAAGAAAAAGTAAGAAAGAAAATATGTGAACAAAAGAAAGAAAAATAAACGAAAGAAAGAAAAAGAAAAGTTAAAGAGAGAAAAAATAACGAAAGAATGAAAAAAGAAAGAAAGAAAGAAAAGTGACAGGAAAAAGAAAAGTGAAAGAAAGAAAATGGAACGTGAAAGAAAGAAATAAAGAAAGAAAGAAAGAAAGAAAGAGAAAATGAAAGAATGAAAGAAAATGAAAAGAAGGAAAGAAAGAAAGAAAGAAAAAGAAAAGTGAAAGAAAGAAAATCGAACGTGAAAGAAAGAAAGAAAGAAAGCAAGAGAAAATGAAAGAATGAAAGAAAATGAAAAGAAGGAAAGAAAGAAAGAAAGAAAGAAAGAAAGAAAAAGAAAAGGAAAAGTTAACGAAAGAAAAAGTGAAAGAAAGAAAAAACAAAGAAAAATAAAAGCGAAACATAGAAAGTAAAAAAGAAAAAAAAAGACAAGAAAAGAAAAAAGAAAAGTAAAAAGAAAGAAAGAAAAAGAAAAATGAAAGAAAAAGAAAAAAATAACTACAAAGTTCGAAAATAATGACAAAAAGATGGAAAGAGAAAACGTAGTTAAAGCGTTCGCCATTTGCTGCTCGGGGTTCATGACCCCACAAAGTCGCGCGGTTTTAGTCGGTTTAATGTTATTTTTTTATCTTCCCAAAACCGAAGGTGTTTTATGTCGGAACAAATTCACTTTGCCATAGATTTCTCTTTATTTTGTCTTGCCATATTTTATTTCATTTTTTTTCTTCCTTTTATTTGCTCAACATCCGTGATTTTAATCTCTTTTTGCTTGATCCACTTTGAATTTCATTCTAAGTTTTAATTTCAGCCCCGGCAGACACGTGCGATTGTTGTCTGCTTGTGGGTGGCGGGTGTGTCATCATGTGACAGATTACAGGAAATGACAGATTAACGGTAATTAGAAGGAGAAAGAAAAGAAAGAAAGAAAAGAGGAGAAAGAAAGAAAGAAAAGAAGAGAAAGAAAGAAAAGAGGAGAAAGAAAGAAAGAAAGACAGAAGACAGAGGAGAAATGAGAGCAAGTGATGAAAGAGGAAGTAAAGAAAAAGGTGTAACTGTAATGAAAATAAGTTTTGTTAAAAGAGAGAGACGGAAAAGTAAAACACAAAGTGAAAAGAAAGTATTGAAATCTCTCTCTTTTTTTTTCCTGTCACTACTCGTCCACCACACACGACGTTCATTTTTCGACCATGCGACCTGGGTTCGAATCTCATCATGGTCGATTTGTCAGGAAGTTCTGGGGATCAGATGCCAATGTGAGGCAACTTTGGAAAGTGCCTGAAAACCATAGCAAAGTTTTAACGAAAAATCCGTAAATGAAATTGGATTGACAGAATTGTTTGGTGATGGTTGTTCCAAGTCACAAGTCATCGTGACCGAGGCTTTGAGTGCTCTACCCTTGTCCAAAACTGATAATTCCGCCCGATGATGTGCCCTCTCTCTCTCTCCCAGGAATTGTAACTAACGTCAGCTCAGTTACTTGTAATGTAGAACACAATTGGACTCTGTAGGGGTTGGACAAATGCAGTGATTGGCCAGTCATTACACACACACACACACACACACACACACACACATATATATATATATATATATATATAAGTGAACATAGAAGTCAACACTTAGAGGCTCTAAGTGTTGACTTCTATGTTCACTTTTATATTTACACACGCTCTATCTCTAATATTGAGCACTTTATCCCATAAATATAGCACACCTTAAGACTATATTTGAAGTAAACACTTAGCGGAGACAGGCTATTTCATGCTAGATGCAATCATCAAGACTCGTGGCCTGACGATTGCATCTGTCGCCTCTAAGTGTTAACTTCAAGCTTCACGTTTATATTGACACACACTCTATCTCTGATATTGAGCACTTTATTACATAAATATAGCACACCTTAAGAGTATATTTCTTCATATATATATATATATATATATATATATATATATATATAGATAGATAGATAAATAGATAGATATAAAAGTGAACATAGAAGTCAACACTCAGAGGCGACAGGCTGTATCATGCTAGACGCAATATGGGAATCAGTAATAAGGAGTGCCAGAGAAAAAGCGATAATAATAACAAAAATTGAAATATGAGCTCTGGTAAAAACGTGCAATGATAACAGCAAAAATTGCAATATGAGCACTAGTAAAAAATCGTTGCTGAAGACATTAGGTTTATACCCAGAAATTCATACACAGATATCCTCAAGGACACATGGCACAGTGGATAAAGGCGATAGTTAGAGTGTGAGTTCAATACCTGGCTAAGGCAGTGGATAACTTGGAGAGGGAATTAAGCGGGATAACTGACATCCATTAGACATGGCACGTGGAACTAGAGCGAAATAAAAGGTTAAGTTCGACATTCCAACCACCTGAAGAAGGCGGAGCGTACAACAGCCGAAACGTTGTAATAAATATGGCGACAGAGATGAGGACAATTGTCCGAATAATGTAAATAGTAAACTACCTGCTGCATTGTAGCCTTTTTTGTCTTTAATATCTGATAGGAGGGACCTCAACACCCGCCCCGCACCGGTGCAAAAGAAACCGACATGGCATTGCACTACTATACCCTAAATGTCACCGTGGACCCCAAATGTAAGATGGCGGGGAGAGATAATCAGAGCGGCCGAATGAATGAATTCTCTTGCAATGCTTTGATTCTTGACACATTTTTTAAAGTTTGTTTTTTTTCTGAGAAAGTTTTTCGATGTTTTGGCTAAATGGAAATTCTAAAGTTCTCAGACAGGCGACTTAAGAACTTTTTGAAAAAGAACAATACGATTTTCTCCCAATTTTCCTGGGCTTGTATTCTCATGGACGAAATACTTTCTGTTCGTTTATTCGGAAATTTATTCGCATCGAAACGGAATAAAAATATATTCAAATGTAGCAATTATGAAAAGGTGTTTGTCAAGAGCTTTATCATGATTATTCAACAACAAAAACCTCATTGTGGAACTAAGTCTTTGTTGAAAAAAAAAAGTCGGTTTAAGAATTTTGACGAAAAGAATTTCTTGTAATCCCGTTTTTGTCTGTTCCCTGTCTTTAAATATTCTGTCATTAATCTGATTAAATGAAAATCTAAAGGTGTTAAGCCGGTTACGGTAGAAGGATGTGAAATATCTAGGCTTAAAAAGGTTGTGTAAAATCTTCCCTTTCTTTACCTTTTTTTTTAAATAAAGTCTGTCTCGCTTAATTCTGTGAGATCGTAACTGACGAAATCTCCCATAATCCATCAACTGAACTCCAAGAACTTATGGAGGTATGGCTTTAGTTTTAATGGTGGAATAGTTTATTCTGCCCGAATCTCAGATTCTTTCAATAAAGAACAAAAGAATGTTTCCCATTATAGGCTTTTGTTATTGCGAGCAATGGTAATTATATTCTTGAGAAATTCACAGCGTCGTGCCAGACAATTATTCTTGCCAAAATCTGTCTTACACATTTACAAGTCTACCATTCGTCCATGCCTTGAATATTGATCTCACGTCTTGTCTGGTGCTTCTGCTATGTATTTAGAAATTCTTGATAAAATACAAAGGAAAATCTGCTTTATTTTACAATTTATTTTACAGTATTAAAAATCACATGAAATAAACAGATTAAATTTCAAGGAATTTGAATCAAAGTATATATAAACACAAACATGATATTTTTTCACAATAGCACATAGCGTATTAACCGTTCATCGTAAGAAGAATGCTCATAAATTAATCTTAAAAAATACAGTTTTAATTAAAACAGAAAAAAATAAATCATTAAGTTGACTTAGTACCTCGGCTTCAGTCACTTTCTCGTTGCCGTAACGTAGCTTCACTTATTTTTTATAAGTATTTTCATGGTAATTGTTGTGATGAACTTTCTTCTATGGTACCTAGACTTTTATGAATTTAAGGATAGTACTAGATTGACAGCAATGTCTCACCATTTTACAGTTGAAATGGCTATATGTAACCGTAAGTTCTATGCTAACAGTTTCTTCATTTGCACTTCTTACATGAGGAACTCTCTTTCTATTTCTTACTTTCCAGTCAACTTTGATTTTCGAAAACTTTAAACGCAATGTCACTCATTATTTTCTTAATTCCTGTTCTTTTATTGTTCTTGTTTCTTAATGTTTTTCCCATACTCTTTTCTTTATTTTTCATATTCTCTCACACTCAGTAATCCATTGCGTCACAGAGGCTTTGTTGCCTTGATTGCGTTAAATGATTAAATACTATTCGCTTATGGAGAAAGTGACGTTTTAGCTTGTCTTAGAATTTCTAGAAACTGGCTCTTTTCAATTTTTTTTATCTAAATAGTCAACGAATTTCCAATATACTGATTATGCTTTGTTAATGTTTCCTGCGAAATTATATTACATGAACATGTAAACAAACTAAACAACATTGAACCTACAGTAGAACTTACTATGAAAAGAATAAACAATTTCAAGGATAACATTTTTTTTGATCGGTTTCACACCAGGCAAGGCAGTAAAGCCCCTAAGGCACTAAGGTTTACTGGATGTACATGAATTAGGAATAGAAACATTAATAATGACCGGAGAGAGAAAAGAGTAATCAGGAGGACTGTAGGTAGCGATTGACATTGCATTTAAATTTTTGAAGATTAAAGTTGACTGGAAAGCATGGATCCAAAAAGGATTTCCACCATTGGGAAACGCGAGTAAAGAAACTGTTAAAATTAACGGTTATATCAAACCAGCTCAATTCTAAATGGATGGATCTTGAAGCCAGTCTAGTATTACGCTTAAATTCAAAAAGTCTAGGCACGATAGCTTATCCAAACAATTACCATGAAAGTTGTTGTGGTCTGTTTAGGGGCCAGAGAGAAAGACACGAATGACGAAGGTAGGTTGAAAAAGTAAATTGAAGATATATACAAAACAATAATGTTAGTAATAAGTAGATTAGTACTGCGTCTACTACTCCACTCCACTTCACCCTCTCTTCACCCGGTATCCGACTCTCGCAGTTTGTATTTATGATAGGAGGAAGCGTTCATTATACTGTAAGAGGGTTTACCACAACAAAAGTATTTATGGAAAAGACACAAAGAGGCAACTTTACAGCGGTGGATAAAATGACTGAAGCCGAGGCGCCATATCAGATCCGATAATATTGCTCATTCTTCATTTGATTTTATCAAGGAGCTCAAGGTGAATAGCAGGGGTACCCGACCATATTCTAAGCATGGATGAAAGTTAGACTTATAGATCCCAAATTGTTTGATAGTTTCTGGAGATTGAATTTGGCTCGCACAACACAGTGAACTGATTTTTTTCAATAGCATGTTAAACTTTACTTATAACGATCTAAAAGTAAATTTTAATAGTAAAACAATTGAAAAAAATGATCTCATCAACTTATATTTAGACAAGAGTAAGATAATAATATCAGTAAAAATTAACGCCTTCATTTTAAGAGTACTTAGAAGTATTTACATGATGAAAAGAAATACATTGAAAATACTTTTAAACTGTTTCAATATGCTAATTATTTCATATATAATGCTAAAAGAAAAGCTCGTCAAATTTATAAATCTAGAAAAATAAATATTATAAATAATCGTAATAAAAACAACACATAATACTACATAGACACTCAGTAAGAAATTAATATTTGTTGAAACTCCGAAAGCAAAAGGCGATTAATTAAGCCAAAAAAAATAAACAAAAAAAAAACCCAGTAAAGATGAAGTAGGAATTTACAATAGAGATAAAAATCACATGAAATAAACAGATTAAATTTCAAGGAATTTGAATAAAAGTGTATATAAACACAAACGTGATCATTTTTCAAAATAGCAAACAGCGTTTTAACCGTTCATCGTAAGAAGTATGTTCATAAATTAATCTTAAAAAATCTTAAAAAATACAGTTTTAATTAAAACAGAAAAAAATCATTAAGCAGAAAATGTTGAGAAAGTTTATTAATTACTAAGTCTTCGATGGCAAATTTACACCCGAATTCATACATTTCCCCTTTCTTAACAAAACCAATTCTATTACAATAAGGGATAACGAAAAACAACAACGAGGAAAACAAATCCAAAACGGTGAGAAGCTGAATGAAATAGTTTAGATTCTATTCGTCATATCATAGGTCAGAAATTAAAAATGGAAATACAAGCAACTCTGCAGGTTTACCTTTTCAGGCGATGTTTAATTATATTCAGCGTTTGTTTTTATTTCCGTTCTCACCTTCTAACTGTATATGATGCCAACAATAAAATAATTTTTAATCTGAAGAAATACTTTTGAAGGACGAAACATGTTACATAGGGTTTCCTTCTAAACTATCATTTAGTTTCCCAAATTCTCTTGTTTGAATGAAGTTTTTTTCCTCTGATAAATAATGTGAGGTGATCTATCTATCTATCTATCTATCTATCTATCTATCTATCTATCTATCGCATTCTGCTCATTTTCTATCTCGCTCAGTGTGTTCATATCTATATATCTATTTATCTATCTATCTATTTATCTATCTATCAGATTGTTCATATCTATCTATCTATCTATCTATCTATCTATCTATCTATCTATCTATCTATCTATCTATCTATCTCATTCTGTTCATTTTCTATCTCGCTCAATGTGTTCATATCTATCTATCTATCTATCTATCTATCTATCTATCTAATTCTTTTCATTTTCTCGCTCAATGTGTTCATATCTATCTATCTTGAGATATACGTGGAGATTCTTTTGTTTGTTTTTCACCTGCTGCAGAGAAAAGAAAGAAAGAAAAACACTTTTCCTTGTTCTTTTGTAGATAAACTGACAGACAGAATCGCCAAGTGCCTGTTAGCAAAGATTTTCCGTCAGTCGACAGTAGCGATAGCAATTATAAGATAATATTTAAGATGTCTTATCTGTAATTAGTGGTTGGAGTAATTAAGATCGCCACTTTGTTTCATTCGCGGATATATGTTGTGGGAAACGACTGTCTGAATTGTGCACTCGAATCGAATTAACCGAAGACCTGAAGACATACACCCCGCCCTGTGTTTACGTGTGTGCGCACCTACCAGAGTTTTTCGCGATTTCTGAAGATGGGCTCAATTTGTCACAAAGCCCAATGAGATGAAATGAACTGGAAGGGTAATGACTATGTTGTAGTCTGTCTCGACGATCTTTATTCGAAATCATGGTTTTTGCCTGCACTCGAACACCAACCTCTGTTATCGTTGGTATTATTACCACCACTAGACAGGGTATATGGGTGCACGCGCGTGGGTTGTGCTGTGTGTTTGACCGTAGTTTGATTTGGTTGTTTAACGGCAAATCAACTTTCTTCTGGGTCATCTCATACTGAAAATTAATTTTCTTTTGAGCTTTGGTATTTTTCCCAATATTCAATGCTGGTGATTTTTCTAATATATTTTTATATTTTCATGTTTTGAGCCCAGTCTAGTGGGTCACACTATTTTCTCATAGTTGGGACCCTAACAGGTGCTACCACC